TCAAGACCCAGACCTTTCCCTGACTTTCCCTCTCAGTCTCTCTCTGATGAGCACATATGCCCTATAGAAAATTAAATAATAATAATAAATAAAATAATTCTTAAAAAAATGGACTTCCCTGGTCATCAGGTAGAATTTCCTTCAACTCTCAACTCTGAGTAACAACCTTTAAGAACCAAACTAAGGGGCCAGCAGGTGGCATGGTGGTTAGGGCACTGGACTCCCACATGGCCAACCAGGTTCATGTCCCAGACTTGGTGATTTGCTTTCCCACTTTCCCTCTCTCTTTCTAATCAAATTTTAAAAGATAAAATAATAATAATGATGATGAATAAAATTAAATTAAAAAGACAAGAACCAGATTAAATGTCTGGGCTGTTTACTTCTCCTTAATATGCCAATGTATCTCTTATACACATTCAAAACTCCTTAGACTGAAAATTTATGACTCTTGTTTGCCTTGAGAGAAGTTACATTGTATATAAGGAACTCAGGCTGGTTTCTGTCAATAAAATGTCCAAATGCTCTCTCTCCAAAGCTTTGTTCATTTTATCTGGTAGAATTTTGGTTTCTAGAGAGTAGATACTTAACCCCTTTTAATATGAAGTGTCTATTAGTCCAATGGTTTCTATATCAGATTTGAAGTTATTTTGACCCCCTACTAATGCCTTTTTAATTATATTCTGATTGAACATTTGCATTTCCACATTTTAAAATTTCCTATATCCTTATTCCTTAGTATTTTTAAGTTTTTTTTTTTTTTGAGAGATTTTTGCTATGGGGCACATACAGTCTCCAGAGACACAGAGAGACAGAAAGTGAGAAATCACCCCCCCAGGTGGGATGGCCACAGTGCAATCCCTTCTCTTCCATTTTCCTCTCAGAATCTTGGGCACGCACACACACATCCCTAGTGTGAGATTAAGTTGCTGGGTCCAGGACTTGAGCCACGGTCTACTATGTGGGAGCCCAGTAACATAAGCATTATGCCATCTGCTGGTCTCCTGGCATGAGTTTTAAGCCACTGGGTCTGGGATTCGATCCGCTGTTGACTATATGGGAGTCTAGAGATTTAACTATTATGCCATCTGCTGGTCCCAAGATCATATATATATTTTTTAACCAACCACAATTGATACATCATATGTATGTGTGTGTGTGTATGTGCATACACACATGTGTACACAAATGTGTACATGCATGTATATATATATT